CGTTTTGAATATGAAATCTGTGTTCTAACTTTGGTCATTTTCTGAAGAAGAACATATGCTCTGTCACGTGGTACATTTAAGTTTTGCCTGGAACCTCTAATTTACAAAATCGAAACGTTATTTAAGTATGTTTAAATATTTATAGCGGTAGAGGGAAAAATATCGTTGTTTTTGAGAGATATTGATGAGAAAAAATTCCCAAAATTGAAAATTGAATTTTCTTATTCGCTTCCCTTCAAATTGAATTTTCTTATCCTCTTCCCTTCAAATTGAATTTTCCTATCCTTTTACTTCAAATTAAATTTTCCTATTCCCTTCCCTTCAAATTGAATTTTTCTATCCTTTTCCCTTCAAATTGAGAATTTTCCTATCCTTTTCCCTTCAAATTGAATTTTCCTATCCTTTCCCTTCAAATTGAATTCGAACGAGTTTAAATATTTATAATGATGTACAGTAAAATATCGTTGCACCCAGTGCAGTTCTTTTTCTTTTCTGAAGCATGTACAAATGTTTCCACAGTCGACTAATGAATGCAGGAATTTCGCGACTCGTGATGCTTAAGCACGGAAGAGTGATTAGAATCTCCATTCATGAGATATAAAGAATTCGTCGGGTTTAAAGGAGGCATTCCGAGCGAGTGGGCAGACCAACAGAAATAACCGAGTGACCACGTTGGATTTCGTGTACTCGCTTTTAGACGAGTCTCAACATACATAAGACAAGACCACACTACAGGGTCGCGCGAGAAGCCTCAGCTTGCTCTTTTCGTGGTTGTATCGTTTGGCTTGCATTTCATTCGGCTTGNATGATTCATACAGAAAATTTGCTGTACGTGCCATGAAGTATACGCGTGATATACGAAAATCGTATCTGCGGTTCCCAAGGAGTGGCCGATAACCTTCACACACAAGTTCTTCGATTAGGCTAACTCTCACAGGTTATGGCACTTAGAAATTTTCCACATCACCAATGAAACCGCCTTGAACCGTCCTACTAATGCTAGAAAAATCGTTCGCCTATGTAATCTAAACCAGTTGCAACACAACCGACCGGGAACAAGGTTGATTAGGATGTGAAAATGAGATCAGAGTACAGTAAAATCTCCCTAATTGACGCTCGGCTTGAAGAATGGACAATTGGACAATTTAGAAAGAAGAGATGCGATTATTCGAGCCTTGCGGCTCGTTTTTATAGTTTTTGACAATCGGTAACTATAAAAATGAGCCGTGAATTGTCCATTTTTGTTCCCAAGTTTTTATAGTTGTTGACAATCGGTAACTATAAAAATGAACCGTAAATTGTGAGCCTCTTCTCAAATTGTCCATTTTTATTTCCAAGCCATTTCCACGTCAATTGGGGAGAACTTAATGTATTTCGTTTTGAATATGAAATCTGTGTTCTAACTTTGGTCATTTTCTGAAGAAGAACATATGCTCTGTCACGTGGTACATTTAAGTTTTGCCTGGAACCTCTAATTTACAAAATCGAAACGTTATTTAAGTATGTTTAAATATTTATAGCGGTAGAGGGAAAAATATCGTTGTTTTTGAGAGATATTGATGAGAAAAAATTCCCAAAATTGAAAATTGAATTTTCTTATTCGCTTCCCTTCAAATTGAATTTTCTTATCCTCTTCCCTTCAAATTGAATTTTCCTATCCTTTTACTTCAAATTAAATTTTCCTATTCCCTTCCCTTCAAATTGAATTTTTCTATCCTTTTCCCTTCAAATTGAGAATTTTCCTATCCTTTTCCCTTCAAATTGAATTTTCCTATCCTTTCCCTTCAAATTGAATTCGAACGAGTTTAAATATTTATAATGATGTACAGTAAAATATCGTTGCACCCAGTGCAGTTCTTTTTCTTTTCTGAAGCATGTACAAATGTTTCCACAGTCGACTAATGAATGCAGGAATTTCGCGACTCGTGATGCTTAAGCACGGAAGAGTGATTAGAATCTCCATTCATGAGATATAAAGAATTCGTCGGGTTTAAAGGAGGCATTCCGAGCGAGTGGGCAGACCAACAGAAATAACCGAGTGACCACGTTGGATTTCGTGTACTCGCTTTTAGACGAGTCTCAACATACATAAGACAAGACCACACTACAGGGTCGCGCGAGAAGCCTCAGCTTGCTCTTTTCGTGGTTGTATCGTTTGGCTTGCATTTCATTCGGCTTGACTCGAACACGGCAATTCCACGCAAGGTCACGGTTTTCGAGTCAACGACAGGAAACGTGAATCGATAGCGAGTGGAAGTGGAACAGGAAAATTTGTCGGAGCATATGGGAGCACATTATGTGCCACCACTGACTCCATTATCAGTTCGAAACGTTTCCGGTTTATTGTCAGAGAAGTAACGCCGCCGCATTTTATGTTCATATTTATCTGTGTAAAGATAAAATTTCTCTTTTCGTAGAATAGGATTAATTGTTGACTCAAGATTGGAGTAGAAGCGCCATTTTTACGTTAGTATTTATTATTTATACAAATATTAATTGTTTATAAAAAGTTGGAGAACTATTTTTGATCTAGGATTCGTTAAAATTGGTTTAAAAAATTTAAACAGCTACTTTTGCTTCGGTGTTTATTAGCACTAATTATAATTAAGTGTTATTCCTTTTTCAATAGTATACTGAAATATAAATTGAATTAATTACTATTTGCTTTTAAAAAATTGAAGAATTTCAAGAATTTCTTCCAACAATTTTTACGTGAACTTATTAATTATTGAATCATTATTAATTAAGCAATATATTAAACATACATTTTTGCTATAGTCTGTGTATTATTTATTGATTATCATTTGTTTTGTATGAACAATTATGAGTCAGCAATGATACAGATACCGCACTGTATTTTTAACAGAGATCAGGAATTTTCGAAAGCTAATAACACAAAATTTCGATGACTAATAATAAAGCTCGAATTGATCGTTAAAGCATCAATAACAATAAGGTTTTATTAGAGGAGAAACGTTACGAACGGTTTGAATGAAATAACGTGCGCGGTAATTGCACGTTTCGTGACGCAGTGTCTACAACAATGGCTTTTCCCGCGTTAATTACCTTCTAATTTGGTCAACCGTGTCTCCCTATTTCTTTTCATCTTTATTACATTCGTTCCCGTTGACGTCAGAACTGTCTTGGTAATCATATCAGATCGTTAATAACATTCCACAGCTTGTACCGTAGTGATAAAAACATAATCTTAAAAAGTTTAAATTATAAAATCAGAAGATCGACAAGATAATCAAAATATAGTTTATTCAAATATTTTGATTGCAGTCACGGAAACGAAAAGAAATCTCTAAATTGATTCAAGTTAGTCGAATCTTTCGTACCACACTGAGTACCTCGACTGATATTTATGCACACCTTTAATATCAATTAATGAGACGCAAATTACCCTGCAAGATGTATAATACATAATTAATAGAGCAGCTCAACGAAGCTAAATGTAAAAAAATGACCGTGATTCTCTCCCGCGAGCATTTCAAAAGGGCAATTGCAGAATTCAAAAGTCGATTCTTGTCACATCGAAACGCTTCTCTTAATTACCCGTCTAATTTACACACCGTTCATTCATCGACGGTGCAAGTACACAAAAATTGCGAAACTAATAACTACTTCCAACAAAAATTGAACGTTATAAACGGAACTCCCGTCAATTTTGTTCCATTCTTATTAAAACTCCGATGAGATTTTCGGTTCTATGTACAAACATGTTTATATCCATTACCGACGAATATTTCTCGATGAAAAAATGTACACCTGTTCCTTGAGTATAAATTCCTCGGAAGAAAATCTCAAAAGTTGTGTAACTTTTAACAGAATTTCATTAGCACTACTTGACATCCAACACAAACATCTTGAAGTCAGAAAAAGCGATTTACATAAACGTATAACGGAATATTATTTCTTTTCACTGCGAGACATTTGCAATTCGCGACATTGACGTATGTATGTACGCTTCCATGTAAAAACTATGAGCTAGGTCTTCCAGGTACGATTCCTTTATCGAAGTTTCGATCCAGTTCGATAAATTGTAAGAAGTAGCTCGGCCAGTTTCGAAACGCTCTTGTCGATTATCACTTAGATTAATTATTTAGTCATCACAATTATTGCTAATTTGCTACTATTTCTGGTTAAATCGCTTCGTTCCGTTATTGAAATTAGGAATTAATTAAAAAAGCCCAAGAAGGTAATATATCTTTTACTGTTTTCTTTTTATACTACAAATGTCATATCACGTCAATGTGTGCTAAAACGTTGGCATCTTATTACTCAAAAATATATTTAATTAAAAATATTTAATTAAAAAATAAATATTTATAATAAATATTTATTTTATTTTATTTATTTTATTATAAATATTTATAATAAATATTTATTTATTATAATATAAATATTTATAATAAATATTTATTTATTATAATATAAATATTTAATTAAAAATATATTTCAATATAGTTCCTCTAGAGACGTTAACAAAAATGTGAAAATTTTAATTAATTGTTACAAACCATATAATCAAATAACAATACAATTTATATTGCAATAGGTCCAAGTGAACTCGAGTTAAGAATGTTAAGAAAAGAAAAGTCGATTTGCTTATAGTTTCAGTTAGGTCTGCGTTTGGATCAATTTTAACTCTGAGATACCGAATAAAAAGCTCTTTACGAGTACGATATCTCGACTAATAACATGCCGGTATCATTATATCGCCACTCGAGGATTCCTAGAAATATAGACCTAACTCGGAATGCGGTTTTCGGACTCGAACTTCTACGACTTTTTTTCAGTTAATACAAACACCATCCCCGATCAATCTTTCGTTTTAGTGATAGAATGAAGTTGATTGAAACGGTCTTAAAATAGCCAGAATAGAGAAAAGCTGTAAAATCATAGTTCCTGCAAGGTTTGGCGGTCTATTCGAAACGGGCGAAGAAACGAGACGAGGAGCGATCAAGAAAAATCATCGGCCACGTGAAAAACCCCGAAGGGAGCGGCGCGGCGCAGGGTCGCATGACATTAATGCCACCTGACGATTGGTCGTGACACGGAGGCTCGTCCGGACCGTTTAAAAATAAATTAGCACCGCGCGTAGTGTCGCGCGAGTTAAATTGAAACCGGCCAGTGCACTCGGGGAATTTACGCCGGGCGTTCGATTGCTCCGTGTCGAAGTCGTGTTTCTATCGTCGCCGGTGATCATCGGGAGCTCTCGGTTGCTAGTGCGCTGGTTGTGCGTGCCCGCTCGAGGAATGACGTGCGATCGGGAGCACGTGTGAGTGATCGATGCCTGTTTTACGGCTGTCGTTGGTCGTCGGATCCAGTCAGATCAATTCCCACTGATATCTACGCGTGAATGTGCGCGGCGAAAGGTTGAACCTAACCTAGAAAAACGAGCCGCGCGTAGGCTCTGGTCTAGTTCACGACCACGTTTCATGGTGCACCAGGTTCGTCGCTCCGGTTCGAGGGTCGCGAGTGGTGGACGCCTTTTGTTTCGTGCCCCCTAAATCGGCGCGTACCGGAGTAATTCCTGTGGGAGTGTGTGACAAGAACCGTGACGATGCTTATTTAATAGTGGCCGTGTCAACCCGAGGAGAGTCGTCGGTTACTCTGACGTGTCTCGTGGCACCACGATGTAAAGCGGGACCAGGGCTACCCGAGGAATGATATAATTAGTGCGCGCACACGTAAGTTGCGTTTGGATCTGTAGATTTAGCCGCGGGCGGCCGCGACGCGCGTTTCTTCGTTGCATCGCCGTATCATCGTTCCTTTTATTGTCGTTGGTTGCGTCATTAATTCACGCGAACGCGAACGCGCGTATTACGTCGTAACGGGCCCGCGCCTCTCGCCGACTCTCTTTTTAACGAAAATACGGACTGAATGATGTGTCAGTTGCGTAACGTCACTGATAAGTACGCGAAAAACTCCTGGATGTTTTACCCGATTCTGTGTAACCTTTGTTCTGTGTCTACAAAGAGAAATCTAGTCGCACATGCGACCAATGTCGAGTATACGTGCTCGAGCCAGCATGCGTTCCGGTTTATCAAACACAATTGGATTCATCTTTGACCGGTATTCCACCTTGATTTGATTCATACGACTCACTCCCTGGCAGAGCATAGCTCTTGGGTCAGTGTACAGAGTTTTACGAACTGTTCGTAGGTCAATCGCCAAACAATATGTTTATCTGCATGCTGTGAGATACGACAATGAGACAGCCTTAAGGTGAAATGTTCCGTAGTCTGCCAGATAGGGTGGCTGGGCTGTACTATTCTCACGGCCTGGTCTGCTCTTCGCATCCTATTGCTATTATTTCATTGGCAATCTCCATAATGTTATTATGTTGGTTAGTAGAATTTGAAATTTGATTACATGGAGAACGAAGGGAAAAAACATCGTGAATGAAAAATTGTTTTGTGCTTAGCTATCCTTTGGTCAATTTGCCGATGCCTGGCAATGCGCCAAGGACTGTAATCAATCATACATTTGTACCTGAAAACAATACGGAGGCCTCTGTGTTCTATGTGCAACAAGTGGTATTAAGAACCGGAGTTATTCCATGGACAGAAGAGTTAACTCTGATGGATGCATTCCGGGGCCCACTTTATGAAGTTTTTAATCTACTAGAGATTATACAAAATTATCAGCATCCAGAAACGTAAGTTTTATACATAATCTTGAGTGTAATGTTTAATGATTTTTGTGTTTTATTTATTTTTCACTTATCTTGTAGACTCAAAACACTTGGACAAGTTTGTTTACACATTGAAGCTGTTAAAAAAAGAAATGGTAAAAAGCCAGAAGTGTTGCCAGAATATAATTGTCTTGTTCTTTCACCTGCAAATCTATGGCAAAGAAGCATAGAGTTATACGCACAGGATACAAATCTGATAAATACGATATATTCGTATCAGGTACAGATATTTAGAGTATAGTGCATTACATGTGCTTGGAGGAAAATAATAATTAGAATGAATTTTACACTACAGAATCTACAGAAAGGTAAAGTAAGCTTAGCTGAGATAATGTTTGGAATGAATCTTAAAGAAACTGGTATAAAACGGTATCCAATTCGTCTTCGACAAAGAATATTGCAATACGCAGTAACTATTTTCTTAAGGGACTATGATCATGAGTGAGTAATTAATTTTGGAACTTCTGATCATTTAATGCTTCTCCTTTTTTCAGAGGTGTAAAATTATTTATTTTAATTTTTAGATTTATTGAGGGATTACACCACAGATTGAAAAATTATTATCACCTTCATCAAATAGAAGGAGATAACGCAACATACATACCCACTGATGAAACATTACATATTTTATATCCTGGAGAATTCAATTACAGTGATTTTTTCCCATTAATGATGACTTTCAACGCCCTATTCTTTTATGTTTATTTTTCTGTGAGGAAAATAGAATTGATAAAGTCAAAGATTGGGATAGCATTTAGCGCAACTGTTACAGTAATAGGTTCACTGTCCATGACTGTGGGTGTATGTTTTTTTTTTGGCTTAACGTTAAGTTTAAGTGGAAAGGAGGTATTTCCATATCTGGTGATTATCGTAGGACTAGAAAATGTATTGGTATTAACCAAAAGTGTAGTGAGCACTCCAGCACACTTGGATGTAAAAATACGAGTTGCTCAGGCTTTGTCCAAAGAGGGTTGGTCCATTACTAAGAACCTACTTACAGAAGTGACGATACTGACAATTGGTTTGTTCACGTTTGTACCAGCCATACAAGAGTTTTGTATATTCGCCATTGTCGGGCTGGTCAATGACTTCTTTCTGCAAATGGTCTTTTTCTCGACCATTCTCGCGATCGACATTAAACGCACAGAGCTTTCTAGCGAAACCTCTAGATTCCATATGCCACATATTCCCACTATGCGCAAACAACAGTTTACAACGACCATAACGAATAGAAAGCCGAACATTTTCCGATCGAAGTCACACCCGAGACTAAATGGCCTGTCTAATGGTCCAACAAATGTGATAGCTCCAAACACGCAGAACACTCACACGTTGGGCAAGATTCCAAAACGTTTGCGAATAGTACATTTCTGGGCGAGGACGAGAATATTTCAACGTGCCTTTATGGTATGGATGGTTGTCTGGATCAGCATGATTGTTTATAATTCAGGCATCGTTGAACATGTCATACATTTAAGTGACACATTGAAATCAGAATCTGAGATTGATGGATACACTCTAGACAAGCCTCAGTCACTGAACAACTATATCGAATTAAACACAATGAAACCATTATCAATGCCCTCGGCCACCATTGCCCCAGATCATTTAAATAGACAGGTAACACGACACAAGTACATTAGTACATATGTATGTATATTAAAGATACATTACTTTAAATTCATTAAATATTCTTATACAACAGGATGATCTAACTAATAACGTTACGGAAGAGTTAAACAAATTGAAACCAGTGGATTTTCCGCCTTGGAATCGTTTATCATTTTATCACTGGTCTTCGGTTCTCTCCATGTACAATATTTCTGCGGCCGGTGGACGAATAACTATACTACCAACAGTAAAACTATCTCACGCTGTGAGTCCACAGTTGGTTAAACAAATTAGCAATCCCAACGACGTGCAACATTTCCAATGGCAGAACCTCGCAACCGCGGCTCTTGACCCATTAGATTTCTCAGGTTAGTATAGCTGTTAGAATTAAAATGATTCAATCCTCAAATTTGGAAGCTGAATGAATCCTGTAACTTTCATAGATATGGAGCTACCAAGTAGATCTGAGAGTAGAGGTTTTAACGCAGATGCACCATTCATTCCATCAAGCCCCATGGAGATCTTCCTGGCCGCAGTACTTTGCCTTATTAGCGTCGTCGTTGTTGCTTACACTATGGTCGTACTTTATAGATGTATCTGTTCAAGAAATTACGCTGAATGGAGGGCCAGTTGGCATCAGCCAGAGAAAGCTCATGATTCCTCGACACAGCTAGTTCTGGAAGCGTTGCCATTGGTCCTTGAAGGGCACACGCAAGAAGTTGAGTGCATTGCTACAGACAGTAACACTATTGCTAGCACTTGTTTAGCTGGGCACATACGAGTCTGGGATGCGACTTCCGGTGAACAACTGGCTCACGTAGATAGGAAACAGTTTTTCAGTAGTCCAAAAAAGAATTTGAGTCAAGCAGCAACAGATGTAGATGAATTGATGTCAGATTATGAGAGTGGCTCGCCTCCTTCGAGAGGAGAAATGGAAGGCACTGACTCCTTTGGACTTTACTCAGCGGTCAACTACAGAAAATCGTCTCCTGGTTTATGCAACATGCATAGGGGACATACTAACACTATCAGTAAGAGACACTCGATGGGAAACACATCAGAGTATGAGTATCAGGCGAACGAATACAACCTAGAGAAGAAGATACATCTGCGCAGAAGTTTGGACAATGCTTATGATACTCCTGATCTGAAGTCAGCGATCAACATCAAATTCTCTTCAATGAAACATACAACTCCAACGCAACAAAACTACGAACAAGGATACGATTTTGGAGATCAGTACAAATATCTTTTCGAAAAACACAATAAGTCTATAGACGAACTGCAGAAGTCAGAAAGCGCAGAGCAATTGTGTATGCCTAGCAGTAGATTGAGCACATCTCACTTAGTGGGTAGTGCGTCTTCATTAAGCACAGATAAAACTGTACAATATTCACAAGTGTCCCCTATTTGGTGTATGGATTACCAAGAAAACTTGATAGTAGTGGGTTGCGCTAACGGAAGTTTAGAATTTTGGGAAGGTACCACGGGTAGGTTTAAAGTAAGTAACAATTCAAAATTGATCTCGGCATGATCAGCATTTCGTAGAGATTGAAAACAACTAACGTTTCAGTGTCTGTTCGATGACGGATCCGGGTTTGGTATATCCGCAGTCAAATTCGTCGGTAGCCGAGTTGTAGCTGCCAAATTGAATGGCTCCGTTGACTTTTTGCAACTGGAGAGTTATAGCGAGGGCCAACAAATTGATTGGGGTTTCACTTCGTACAGAAGAAGTATGTTCGTTTGCAAGTGCATTATTATATCATCTACTCTTCGAGTTACACCGTCTTCTTTTTATAGCTCACGTTAGGACGGGAAGTGCTGGCTCACCTATGGATATAAATAACATCATGCAATCCGAAGAAGACCTTCGTTGCATAAAAATTAGTTCTCATAGAGTGCATCAACAAGCAATAACTGTGCTTGACAGCGAGGGTGGCCGCGTTTTGACCGGTAGTCAAGATCACACTCTCAAAGTGTATAGGTACATGATGTCCATGTTTCTTGTCGGCACTTTAATTGCAAACATTACCTCATTTTATTTTATGCCTTAGGTTAGAGGATCAGTTGCCATTATACACACTTCATGGACATTGTGGGCCCATATCCTGTCTTTTTATCGACAGGATGAGTCCAATGACATCCGGTAGCGGATCTCAAGATGGACTACTATGCGTTTGGGATCTTCTGACTGGTACGCGTTCTACTAAAGCATGCAAACATAGTTACTTGTTAAAGTTTACAAAAGTAGACAAAACTGTACTCATTGTTAGTTCATAAACTAACATATTAAGACCTCCCATCTTTTCTCTTTGTTAACGTAGGAACATGCATGTACAGTATACAGGCCCATGATGGTGCCGTGGCAGCTATTACATGCTCTGTGTCCTATGTGATAAGCATTGGAACTGATGAAAGGCTGTGTGTCTGGGAAAGGTTTCAGGGACACTTACTACACACTCTTCCAGCACACAGATCAGCGTATAGTTTACAGTTAGTCATGTTAACGCATCATCTACTCATCACTAGTAATCAGGTACGTAACTATTCTCCTATCATTACAAACTTTTACTCGAAGTTTATTCATTGGAAGTTTACGCCATCGTCAAGTACCATGATAATCTGTGACCTGTAAACTTTCAGGGGTCGCTAGTAGTGTGGGACGTAAGGACAGGAGAACCTGTGCGTGAAGTGAGGCTGGGTCACAAAGATAGTTGTATTTTCGTGAAACAAATGTTAGCGTTAAGGGACAGCGTGGTCTGTGACTTCGGGCGACAGTTACGGATAATTAGATTCCCATTGGTCTCTGACAAGCTAGACTAAGATCTGTATATGCACTTTGTACATAGCTGTTTTTTTTCTTTTTTGTTCTCGTTTTTTCTTCCTTATTTAATACTTGAGGGAAGTGTTCCGCACTTCGCCTGGGGACAGAAATTTTTACACGACGTACACAATTTTATATTTGAAGCGGTTGTACACAATTTTAATAAGAATATTTTACACGAACGACTATGTCATGATTACACCTTAATATTTATACTCCGTTGAGACAGTGAGCATATGCGAGAGTAGACTACGCTTGTCCTTGGCAATGGGAATACATAGTTTTTAATCAGTTCACGAGACAAATTGTTTATGCGAGTACGGATGCTGGAACGCACTGTAAAAATGGAGAATATAATGTTGAGGACAGTGATAGAGGATACCAGAAACGATATTTTTCATTAATCCGAGTCATCTTGGTGGTGCCTCTGTTCACTGTCTTGGATGTATGGCTGTGTTACATTCGGAAATATCCGATTATCATTTCGCGGCGCGATTCAGGAATATTAATTTCCTACGTAAAGGATTTAAAGGACAACTCGGTATGCTTCGGTCAATTTTATGATAGATAGAAGTTGCATTTGTTGAGCCGGTGCTGTCCTATAAGACACGGAGGTGCTGGATTTTCACTTCTGTGTTGTAAAGCCAAGTACAGTAGCGATGTTAATTAACTTTGACTTGTACGAGGAAGGCTAGTAGTTAGAATTTCAATGAGCAATGTATGTGCCTGGTGTATCAGTTTGTGACGATGCATGTTAACGAACGTTTTACATTTATTGTATAGTAAAAATGTCTCTGTACACGCGTCATCTCGTTACACGTGTAACGGTCTAAGAGTGCCTTTATACCAATCCCTATTTAGTGGAACTAAACAGGGAAGTGTCGCAGTAAAGGACTACGAACATACACATTGAAGGAAGGGATCTCAGTCTTCTAACACGTAGGAAGTTCTACGTAATTTAGAAGGAGACTCAAATTAACAGTACGCTAAATGTTCTATCGTTTAGAACGTTGATCTTCAGCCACGGATGAACCAGACAATCCAAGTTCATCCCCGTAAGACTTGTATGTACTGTTAAGTTTAACACTTGCATTCGAAACTTCACCGTTTGTCACCTCCCGTACTAAACGCTTAGTCTTGTTTAGCTTTAGCAGCGGTCTATTTTTGTAAGGAGAATCGTTGCTCCTCGCTGAGCAAACTTTGGGTCCTATTTTATATGTGTAATTGTAGTAAGACTTACGAGTGTGTATAAAATACATTTTCGTTTCACAACACATCGAGGGATGAGTGGGATATGCAGTGTTTTGATTGTGTCCACGCGAGAAGCTATGTAGAATCATATTGTTGAAGAGTGTCTAATGTCACGCAGAGGAGTCTCCTAATAATTAGCTGGATTTGAATCAAAATGGGTATTCGAATGAAAATTTGAATTGACTAGATACTGTCGTATTTGAAGTTCAGTGTACGACTTCATTACACCCAAACTTTCTACGCTTCCAATAATGTGATATAAATAGTAGAACAGCTTCCAACGAAACAATGCAATTTCTGACGATTCATTAAGGGAAAGGAGACTAGAATTGCCATCACCATTTTTAGCTTCTCAACAAGGGTCCAAGGGGGTGCGAAGAAATATGTCCTGTTAATCTTAGGGCACTCCTCTTGCGATAGAAATTTAATATGAGTGTTGCGAAATGAATGTTACAACATAGTGATCTATATGCCTTTAGACTGAATTGTAAGACGATTTGTATCGACAAGTCTCTTTTATTTTCTGATACCCTGTTCGAGGTAACTAGTGCTCGCGATCACGATCACGATCATAATCTATTAATACATATGTATATAATATACATATATATTATATATATTAAGTATAATATATATCATATATTATTGTATATACATATATACATATACATATATTTTTCTTAACCAAAGTTGCAAATCACATCGGGTCGTGACACGCTTGTGTGAGTAGAAGTTAACTGACGAAAGAAAGTATCTCAAAAAAAAGGAAAATTAGAGAAAGAAAATGTAAAAAAAAGTAAGTGCTTCTAACGGCGCAGCTGGTTGGCTAATTTAGGAGTCCGTGTGATTTTTATATTTATTTAATTAATTTACCAAGTGCAAATCTGTCGTACACCAGATATATCATCCTTAATAAATTCTCACATTTACTAAATCTTCATTTGTTTTTGCTTTTTAGCTAACGTAAACAAAATTTGCGATATCTTGCGTCCTCTCCTTTTCTCCCAGCAAAGATTAAAACAGATTAAATACTGAAGGAAAATAATGGTCACAGTTACAAGCTAATAGTTAAATTGTAATTAATTTAAAAAATTCTATCAAGCACGGAGAGTGTCTTAGCAGATGGAAGTCGATAACGAGAATCAACAATGTTTTAGATTAGTAGAACTTTCCTATAGGTGCTTGTTCCGATGGAAGATAGAACGATAGGAATCGTTTCATTAATGCGGAGATAACAGATCAATGGAAGATGTATCAGATATAGTATAATTCCACGATTAGGCGTCGTGCGTAATGGACAATGCAAATTTTAATCTTTTATAAGTCAGCAACATAGAATCCTCTAATCCCCAGATACACAGTACCATATTTTCTAATTAATATTTTCTATACATATATGTAACAGTAATGACATTATAAAAAGAAAATATGACACCAATTTTGTTCAAAAAATCTAATCATTATTATTTAAGGATACATAATATAACGTTGCCATTATATATAATATATACATAGAATAATAAATTGTTATTATTCACTTGTCAAAGTACATTAAATAATAATAGTACAATGGAAAATTTACTATATTGACTATCTATTTCTAGATTTATCTATGCTGGATTTATCATTTCTACAGAATCCTTGCCGATTTAGACTTTTATAGTGGCATAATATTTTTAATGAAAATTACGAATGCTTTAATATACATTGTGAAACGTGATTATTAAATACGAGTGTATTATTATTACACTCGAGTGTTCGATCATTTTCGACGAGTATGATCATGTTAGAGTCACACAAGGATGTAAGTACGTACTCGTTCAGAGCAGACAGCATGGCTGATAAACTCGCTCATCTTATCTAAATCGTGTCCAAGGGTACGACTTTCTAGTGATAAATGTTCTGTATATTTTGCAAACAGAGGGAATACAAAGGAAAATCTGTTTGAAATCGATCCATGCTATATTGGTTTTAATGCAGCGATATTGCACTATTTTTAACGCGTAATTCATTCATTTATCCCTAGAGCATAGAATGAGTCAACTTTAAGTACACTTTGCGTAAACAATATCGCACTATAATATATTGCGTAAACAATATCTAAACAGCCACGATCTGATAGTGTCTCTCCGAGTTAAACATAGAATATCTGATATAGACGCCGGATAAGTGTATCGTATGAATATTTATATTACATCGTAGGGTCAGTTGCGGTATAATCCTCTGAGAAGATAAGCTTCTCATAGAGGGAAATTAGTGTCTCGAATTATGTCAGAAATAATGACGATGTAATTACATAGAAACAGTATTTTTCATCAATCTACTGTCTACCTGCAGCGAATATTTATTAGAACATGTGTCATTGGTTTTACAAAAATATGTGTGCTGCTATCAGTAACCTTGAGATCTAAGAAAGTATATGACCAATCGAATGAAAAGTTCTTCCCACGAAATCAATTTGAAACAAATATTTGTCTCCACAGAGCAAGCCCCTGCCGTCGACACCGTAGAAAATTGAAGCGTTCGTGGCACCAGACTCGGGGAACTCACCTAAGCGCACCGGGCACCGTCTCGCTTGAACGAGTTTCTGTTCCTGCAAATAATCCCTAATCATCTATACGCGACTGGTGAACGCACAGATGCGTTCGTGCACACACAATGCTCGGTTCATCGGTAAACAATTTTCCACTCGTTCGACAAATGTCGTCAATTCGCAAAGAGGATTAACAGCAGCACGCTCCGTGCATCGTTACCCAAACACGACTGTCACTCCTCGACGAACAGAACCAGGTCTAGTTGGAGTACAGAAGGGGGATCACGAGTGCGTCGCGTTCACGAAAGAACTCGTGCAAATGTGTTTGGAGGTGGTGGAGAAAGAGGAGGTGATTGAAAGGCACGCGGGCATTCGCTTTCGTTGGTCGTTCAGTGGCTCACTAAACTCCAAACAAGGACCAACTCTACTCGAGCTTGGTCTTCCTGCGGCACCAACCTGCAGAGTTGTCCCTTTGTCGCCGACGTTGCCGGAGGGAGGACCTAACTCGAGGAATCTGGGACCAGCAGGGGAGAGAAAGCTTTTCCAGGCCGGGTACCGGTTCCGGAAGCGGAAAGAGAAAAGAAAGAAGCTCCCTCGAGTGACCCAGCTCGAAGGATCTGGACTCTGCCAGGAGGATCAACAGTTTCCAAGTTGGGACCAGCTCTGAAACTAGAAAAGGGAGTAGAATGCTCGACCAGAAATCAGAAGTTTAAAATTGTAGGTCTTAAAAGGTGGAAGAAGCTTTCTCTTACAGTTCTGAAAATGGAAAAATGCTCGACTGATAAAGCTGACAGTTCAGATTGATATTATTGTTTTGCTGTCTGAAATGATGATCGTGATCACTGATTTGATCACTCTTAATTTGAAGATTTGAGGTTTGGCGAGGATATTAATGAGATATTGAAGATACAAACGATAGCTATCTGCAGTTCTTGTGGATGGGTATTGAAGAGATAGATAAATGATTCTGGTCGACTCAAAGGCAGATTAGGTCAACGAAGGTGAAGCTGTAGAAAGGAACGACCATTACGTATCCTTGGCGGCGATCATTAGCCAGCAATCGCTACTTTTAGTGAAATGTTGAAGGTAAAGCTGCAGATCTGTGGATGGTACATTAAGAGCTCATGGAGAAGGATACATTGAGAGGAGTATAGATTATGAATCTAAAAAGAAGAAACTTCTGTGTTCAATGCATGTTGATTTGGAAGGAAGAGATAATAATAACGTAGATCTGAAGAGAGATATTAGTTGTGCTTAAGGAAAACTTTAAGAGGAAGTAATCCAAAGAAGCATTTGATTAATCATTGGTCAAGAGTCAATTAATTCAGAAGATTTTCCTACGATAAAACTCTAATACACTTGAAAACAAAGTAAAATATGCACTTTTGAGGTATCTGGAAACAGAAGGCAGATTGAAGTGCAACCAGTTGGTACCAGTCCGTCCAAAATGGCTCAGACATCACCCCCATACGATGAAACAAGCAGGTTTGTAAATTTTTATTTCAATTTTTCTACTTTATGCAACGTGATCATGTGATACATTAATGGTAACGATATATACCATTTAAAAAGATTATATTAACTTTCTAAGTAAGATGGTCTTCAGCCTAAGCATACAAAGTGCACAAGGAAAATCCTGCTGTATTTGACTAACCGATAGCGTTAGCAATCAAAAATTAAATATTGTTGAAATGATTTAACTGTTTGACAGTATGTTTGTGTACGTGGTATAGCGGGCTATTGTTACCGATGTCCAGTTGTTTTCGAATACCAACTGTGAATCAATGTTTCATTTCACGAAGTTGTGACCAGGTTTTTCCAACGAAATTGAATTTGTTGACGAAATTTTTATTGCTACTGTTAAAATAGGCTGTTAATCGGGGGATTAGTCAAATAATCTTCAGATTGTTCACCAACGTACACAGTTCTTTACAATGTGGAATAAAAGTCTTATCAGTGTTTTTTTCCATCGACGTTCGACACATTCTTTTTAGATATTTTTATCACTTATCTGAACGCGATCTGACGAATGTTTTCTAATGGTTCCAGTATAGTAGTGAATAGTAGTGAATAGTAGTCAATAGTAGTGAAGTTTAGTATTTCCGTTTCAATTTCTGGTAAAACGTAAACATTCGATTTTTATTAGAATAAACATTACGTCTGCCTTTTTTTTATTGGGCTAAAGATTATATTTGTTGGAATAAAGATTATGTTTTTTCTTTTTTTTATTAAGCTAAAAATTTTCGTTTCAATTTCTGGTAGAACGTAAACTCTCGATTTTGTATTAGAATAAACATTATGTTTGTCTTTCTTTCCTTAGATTTAAAAATTATATTTCTTGGAATAAAAATTACGTTTTCTCTTTCTCTCATTGAACTAAAAATTATATTTTTTAGAATAAAAATTGTTTGTTTTTTTTAAATAAAATCGAAAATTCTGTTACATAAATTGTATAAAATTAAAGAAACAATATAGAATATTTTACATTAGTTGAAAGTAATACTATAGAAATATATATATAAAGAAATAACACAGATAATAGCTGTCTCTTATACACATCTAGATGTGTATAAGAGACAGCTATTATCTGTGTTATTTCTTTATATATATATTTCTATAGTATCTGTCTCTTATACACATCTAGATGTGTATAAGAGACAGCTATTATCTGTGTTATTTCTTTATATATATATTTCTATAGTATCTGTCTCTTATACACATCTAGATGTGTATAAGAGACAGCTATTATCTGTGTTATTTCTTTATATATATATTTCTATAGTATCTGTCTCTTATACACATCTAGATGTGTATAAGAGACAGCTATTATCTGTGTTATTTCTTTATATATATATTTCTATAGTATCTGTCTCTTATACACATCTAGATGTGTATAAGAGACAGCTATTATCTGTGTTATTTCTTTATATATATATTTCTATAGTATCTGTCTCTTATACACATCTAGATGTGTATAAGAGACAGCTATTATCTGTGTTATTTCTTTATATATATATTTCTATAGTATCTGTCTCTTATACACATCTAGATGTGTATAAGAGACAGCTATTATCTGTGTTATTTCTTTATATATATATTTCTATAGTATCTGTCTCTTATACACATCTAGATGTGTATAAGAGACAGCTATTATCTGTGTTATTTCTTTATATATATATTTCTATAGTATCTGTCTCTTATACACATCTAGATGTGTATAAGAGACAGCTATTATCTGTGTTATTTCTTTATATATATATTTCTATAGTATCTGTCTCTTATACACATCTAGATGTGTATAAGAGACAGCTATTATCTGTGTTATTTCTTTATATATATATTTCTATAGTATCTGTCTCTTATACACATCTAGATGTGTATAAGAGACAGCTATTATCTGTGTTATTTCTTTATATATATATTTCTATAGTATCTGTCTCTTATACACATCTAGATGTGTATAAGAGACAGCTATTATCTGTGTTATTTCTTTATATATATATTTCTATAGTATCTGTCTCTTATACACATCTAGATGTGTATAAGAGACAGATACTATAGAAATATATATATAAAGAAATAACACAGATAATAGTTTTCGAGAGTTCCAGGTGAATTAATTCCGTGAAAAGAATGTCTGTAATTCCCCACAGTATAAGTGATCGACAACCTCGTCCTTCTTTACAGAAATAGAAACACGGATAATTACAGTTTTTTAGTACATTGTTTTTTATCGTAATCATTACAATGTTAAATGTTCGTCGTGTATTCTTATGTAATATAACATTAACAATACTTTGTTTTTATGCAACACTTTGTTGTATAAATTTATTGCACAATTTAAAATTTCAAGAACTGAAAAAATCTTGAATTAGATGCACAATAAAAAGAAAACGTTTTATATTAAAAACGTTTTAAAATGCAAGAATTCAAACGTTGAATATTGAAAATTTTATAGTAGCAGATATGCAGTGTACAAAGTAATTGTATAAAGTATAAATTAAGCACATAATTGCGCACAAAGGACTAGGAGTAGACTCGTGAAGCGATATTCGTTAGGCCAAACCTAAATAAACTCTCGAACGCAAAGGGTTAATAAAATTGAAAGTAAATAATAAATATCAAATAATGCAGTATAATAGAAAAGAGGGACAAAACAATAAATCTGATAAATAAAAAATAATGTACAATTGAATGTAAAATAAATGGTTGGTGCGAAATAAAATATACCATAAAATAAACAATAAGTGACGGAAAGTACGAAGTAATCTAAACAAAAATGTTTACTGAAGTATATAATGTATATTATTATAACAATGAGCAGGTAATAAAATCTAATAATTACAAAATAATATATAATAGAATGTAAAAAAAATGATAGGTACAAAGTAAAATATACAATAAAGTAAACAATAAAAGGAAAGAAATAGTATGCTGAAACAATGAATTAAGTAACAACTAAGATAAAGCAATACATATACATATAATAGCAAATAGTTGACAATATCTAAAGGAAATAATTAGTGACAAATAAGGCCACAATTTATAGACAATAAACAGGTGGAACGACTTTCAACAGGGTCACGCGCGTGCTCCAATTGTATACGGAAATATGGAGTATGCATTTCTTCGCGCGAATGTCAGTTTGTAGACTGGTAGACCTTGGGCAACTAAGTGTCACGTAATTTTGATTATGTCTCTATTACATCTCTATTACATCTAGTTATCGCGAATCGCGTTTCACGCGACGTTTTTCACGCATACTAATGCAATCCAGAAGTAGTAATTATTCGTATTGCATTAATTCATCTGTTAGAGCGCGTGTGCAGCTCAGATAAGAAGTTCGACGAACTATCAACAATTGATTAATGATGTCAACATGAATCTTGGTTTTCGTCGAAATTATCAAGATAACCCAATTTCGTGTTTACAGACGCGATTAACAGATTTGTTAATTACGGTTCGCGCGAGATTATCAATGTGACACGTGTTCGTGTGCATAATTGTTCTATTTTTTTCTTTTGCACTGTAGCTGTCGGCGGTCGTATTAGAATTTATGAAATCCAAAATGTTCAGACTTTTTTGAAAATTGGGATTCATATTAAAGCATCAACTTTTGTTGTATATTATGTTTGCTTCGATATATGTACACATCTTTGAAAATGTTTTTGTCATGCAAAATGCTTTTTCAAATTATTCTTTGATATTTTGTATATTTATTTATTTTGTATATTTATTTATTTTGTATATTTATTTATTTTGTATATTTATTTATTTTGTATATTTATTTATTTTGTATATTTATTTATTTTGTATATATAATTTCAGATATCTAAAATTTTTTAGATATCTGAAATTTTCTTTTAGTCCAATAGGAAAAGTGTTTTCATTTGACAATTTTCGTTTGTCTTTTGTACTGGTGGATTGGCAAAGTATTCGAACTCGACGGCAAGTCTTACAAGTATCCTGATTTTATTACATTGTTTATTGAATTTTTTAACATTAGGTTTTTCAATATTCAATTCTTCAATATTGAAACTTATTGTATAATCTGTTGAATCTTTTAACGCTGAATTTTTCAATGTTCAAATTTTCGTGATCACACGATCGATTAAATTCTTTAAAATCAAGTTTTTATATATTACAACTTATTTTCCGTTCAATTAAATTTTCCAACATTCAAATATATTTTTGTCACTTAAGCGATTTGATTAAAAATTTTAACGAATTGATAAATTAATCAAATCTTAAATTAATGTTAATACGTTCAGAGCCGCGCGTGGGTGACACTAATTTTTAACCAGGTTTTTGAAATTCATGTTTATTGCAATATATTGAACAAGTTGAATGTCACTAGGATTTGTAGAATACAAAATAGCTGAACTAATATTTCCTGTGGAAAATTTTCATCACTTTCTAGTTTCGGTTTCATTAATTAAGTGACTTTGATATTATGTGCATTTTTCAAGTTGATATTCGGCACTTAATGTGTTAAATATTAATATTAACTACCTTCGCGCTTCTATACCGGTTTGTGAATCACGCAACATTGGAAATCGCCTTTGAGTTTCAACAGTATCGATGTTTTAGTTGCAGTAATTTCTCCCCAATTCGCGCTCAGATTGCGCACAAAAATGGATAATTTGGGAAGAGGAGATACGATTATTCAAGCCTTGCGGCTCGCTTTTATAGTTGTTGAAAATCGGTGACTATAAAAACGAGCCGCAAGGCTCGAATGATCGGATCTCCTCTTGCCAATTTGTCTATTTTTGTTTCCAAGCTGAGCGTCAATTAGAGAGAATTTACCATATTTTAGCATTCTAAAACGTGCACTTAAATCAAATGTTTTGAACTTTAATTTCAAAATTTTAATTTCATGACGTTATGTCAAGGTTATGTATATTCAATCGCCGGACAGCGGATCTTTATGCAAAATACAAAATTTTGATCAGCAATTGCAAGAAACTAGTGCTAAATAAAAATGT